TCGGAAATAGACTTTATAAAGTTCATTGCGTGAAACAAAGCCAGATGGAAGGGGGGAAATACGAAGAAACCGTGTCGGAGTATAGGTCCAGTCGTATTTAGTACCATAGTCTATACCTAAAGAAAACGATCAATCCGTCGATTTTCGTCAGTCGTTGCACATTTCCCACCAACGAATCGTAAATGGACGGTGTTTATGCCTGATTCAGTGTGCGTGCTAGAGATGGGCAAAAAGTTTGAAACATTGATGTTCCGATATATCGGTGTATCTACATTTGAAACATCGATGTTGGTGATCGATATATTCGACAAAAATAGATGTTATAAAAACATCGATGTTTAAAATTATTGATGTGTACCTTAATAAGTTTTAAGAAAAATTGTATCTATGTTAAATGTATGTATGTTATGTATAAATTGTAAAATGTTTAAATAAATACGTTATTTAAACATCGGACTTCGGATTAGAAAAAATCGATTTTTTTCAATACATCGCAATAAAAACATCGATGTATTTTGCCCATCTCTAGTGCGTGTGTTCATCACATTATCGCCAAATGATGGATAAACAACATCTATACACTACGATCGCGGTATAGCGCAATGCTAATTAGTAATTACTAAAGCAGCTATACGTTTCGCTAATGGTACAAGATCGTCAACGTCTTCGACAAACGTCGGCTAGCAAGGTAGGGGAAATTTGGCCTTGGCACTACCACAGTCGTTAGTTGTATGCGCGAAAGGGACCATTCTCTTTTGGTATAGTCTATAGTCTATAGCCTTCTTCGAATAAAAATTAACTGATCACTAAAAATTAGAAAAATGGCGAACGACGAATCATCATCGATCGATTAATACGAATAAACTAAATGACAAACGAAAATTGTTTTCCGATCGTTAGCGTTAATTGATAAAACGCTTCATAAACCATGAAACGGTGGATAACTGATAAACACGACCTAAAAATTTACATTTGAATGTGTACTGCATATAATTTAATCTTATCATTCCGATTTTTACGGATTTTTATTTTAAAGTAGTCATGTACATGAACCACGAATCAGTGAACCATGGATGAACTTTGATTCGAGCGCCGATGACAGGGTCTACACTACAAAATGTTTTTTTTTATCAGTAACCAAAATGGAACTAGAATTGACAAACTTAATTTTATTTCAAGAGTGTCCAAACCAAATTATTTCTAAACGCAAAAAATAATACAATAAAATAGGTGCGAGATATGGTTGCCAGGGGATATACTTTGGGTGGATCAAATACATTGTTAACAGAGTTCAGAATAAAATATCACGGTTTAACAGCCAGTCATTTCTAAAATAGAGTAAGACCGCTGCTGCTGCTGCACCGTATGAATGATATTTCAAAAAAACTATTTTCTTTTTCTCTTTTGATCAACGACGTGCACATTGGTCGTTTGCGTTTATTTTAAACGCTGCACGTTAGAACGAGTATAAATGAAAGCTTTTATCGAAAACGTACTTGAACACGCCATCGTATATATACATGGATGGATATCATTATTTATTCCCGTTTTATGTACCTATATACGTGTGTGTGTGTGTGTGTGTGTGTGTGTTTGTGCATGTGTATAAGTGTCAAGGAAACGCAACTACAAAGAGGAAGAAGAAATCAACGTTGGCCATATAGTGTACACTATAATACGTTTCTCGGTATTTATGTATGTATGCATATATGTGTATATATATGTGTGTGTGTGTTTTGCGTTTGTATGTGAGTGATTGTGTATTCGTATCGATTATTCAATCAAAGATGCGACATCCGCAACAGAAAAATGTATTATATACAACAATAAGTATAAACGAAAAAGAAGAGCAATGAATATGAATGTGTATATATATATATATATACAGTGTTGTGCTTTAGATAAATTTATCTAGATAATTCACAAAATCTGTACCTAATCATTAGTAATAACTAATCTAAAATTTTATCATTCTATATAAAATAAATAACTAAATAAGAAATTTCATTTGTATATTTACTTGCAAAAATTGGTTCTAAAATAGTTTTACATAGCATTTATTATGTATATAGACATATATTACCTACATAATATGCATGGGAGGTGAGAATTATTTATAATTTCATAGTATGGCCCATACGGGGACGTCTTATGCTTGTATTACTATTGTTTTTTTGGTATTACGAACGCCGAAAGAGCATTTACAAGAATATTAGATCTAGAGATAACGCACCATAGGTTTTAACTGGAAAGCTTTGCAGCTGCGCGGTAGATGGTTTATAAATACTAAAATACAGAAATCATTTTCGATAAGAAAATAACAATATTATAATCAGTGGCGCCGAACTACAAAAAATGCAGTATGGCGAATATCAAATTTTAATAGTACCTACCCACCTACCAATTGATGTAAACGGTGGGGGAGACTGAAACCCTACCATAATATGATATTCAAAATTGATATTAATTTATATATTTATATATATAAATTAATATATTTATATATCTTTTTTCGTTTCGTAACTTATCAATAATTTATGAAATAGCCAATATAGGTGTTCACTTTATATATTAAATAATATTTTTTTTCACCACATCTGTGTTAATATTACGGTCTTCTGGCTTGTATCGACGTAATCAGCGTACCACAACTGATGTGCTTTTATGTAATAATGTTAAATATTAAATAGTTTAAAGACTTTCATAGTAGATTTTACACATTGGGCTGTGGGTACCACGCTATGTGTCATCTACCCAGCACCCAGTACCCACCCACCACATAATTCACTATGGCAGTCGCCATACTTGGATATAAGGATCGGCGCCACTGCATGCAATCATGTACTCTAAATAATTGTCATTACCGGACTCCAATTCTATGAATTTGCACTTTGATGTGTCTACATAATATTATTGTACAACAAAATAAATATTAGTCGTGAAACGTCCGTTTTTATTAAAAACTTGTACTGCACGTAGCACACCCTCATCCACAACGTGTTTAGTGTTTATCGTCAGACCGTCATCATATTTTTCATTATACTGTCTATGACTTTCAATTTTATTTTATTGGTGAAATATTTAATATTTTGTAATGGATCGTTACATAATACAATCTTTTCCCATGACCAAAAGAGTTCGCCTACAAACGGATGAAAACGTTGATGCCTTATATAAATATCTAGATAAAAATTATTTTATCTATCAATATCTAGATAAAAGTGATTTTATCTATCTATATCTAGATAATTTTTTTTATGTAAGCACAACATTATATATACATATAAATTATTCTTCATCAGAGCATGTCGGAAAAAATAAACAGCGTTACTTACGGGCATAAGAGAAAGCGCGCGCGGACGACGGGTTTATCTCTTGCAAAACACATCGGAAAAACGTTGGATTCGCAAGAGCCGGTAAATCCCACCGGCCGTATAACGCGGAGAGCCCTATCCACTACCAGCCACTGCATAAATATAAATATACACGACGACGTGTCGTACTAAAACCGTATTCCAAACGAGAAAAAAAAAAAAATGAAAATTGGAAGAAAAGAAAACCAATAAATATGTATTTCGGAAAGAGGGACGTTTTCCAAATCCTGCTTAAGTGTTTCATTTTCTATACACGATAAACGTATATAGTACATGGTTATATTGATACGTGTATATACATACATAAATAGGACTAACACAACAATGTAATAAGTCCTATTGTGTTGCGTGACGATAACATTTCGGTTTAAGTACATATAAAAAAATATATTAAAAAAATGTGTTGTACGATTAAATGCGTACGATGTTGTCATCGTCTCCGTCGGTCGACTAATTCATCACCGATGAGAGTGTACCTACTTGTAGGTGAAGTGGTTCCAAGAGCGACGGGCGTACACGTTAGCGGATCTTCCGTGCGGTATACGCATGCGCGCGTACTATTACAAAGGCCAATGCAATGATATTATGGGTATTATAACTATTATAGTGGTAACAACATGGTATAATTAAATATAGGTGAAATATAACGCTGGACTAAACAGATGATGGTACAATGTGGAAGACAAGCGCCCGCAGGATAAAATCCCACCCTGGGCGAGATTAAAATTCTAAGGGCCGAAACAACATGTATCTAAAAATGGATGAGAACAAAATCAAATACCATAGAAATCGGTACTCAAGAGAATTTGTAGCTTAAAGCGATATGCAGTCTTGTGTAAACATTCTAAACCAATATATACGTTCAAGATTATACATTTTAAATTATCTAAAAATATAACAAATTTTACTAAACTTTATAAATGGATCTCAATAAAATCGTGTTATAATTAATATGCGTGGAATTAAATTAATAATAGTTTTGAAACAAAAATTCCCAAAAGGAGCAATAGCCTCTTTCCCCTCCCCTGCGAGCACGCATGGTGAGGGGGTCTAGTGTTGGTGATTGCAAAATGCGGTAGTTAACGGTGGTCACCCTCCTACCCACCCATACAAGAAACTCCGAATAGCTATCAGACGGCATTCATTTTTATGTGTCTATTAAAATATTTGGTTTTGTGTTGCTAACAATCGAGAGTCACGTATCTCCATATCTATCTGCCGCCGGCTACGGTAAACATACATCTATAGCAGCGATTCCCAAAGTGTGTTTCGCGATATGTACCTGATTATTGAGAACAGTAATTGTAGTAAACAATAATCATGAACTATCTTTAAAACATTTTTTTGATTATTGGTTTTTCAATAAATAATTGCAGAATTGGTGTTAAGTTGAAGTTAAAGATGTTGGGGCTCCACGAAAAAAAAATATTTTTTAAGGGTTCCGTGGCCATAAAAGTTTGGGAACCACTAATCTACAGGTACAATCGTACTCCCCGAACATCTTATATACATCCCCTGGCTAACCCGACCAAATCACTCCGCGGTAGAAGTTGTTTTGAAGTGCAGTAGTAGTGATGCCAATCAGCATTAATTGTACACGTTATGCGAACAGGTGCAGGTACTCACTGAGTGTGACGTTGTTGAGTTTGGTCTGATCCACTTGACCTCTGAGCGCCCGGAGCTTGCGAAGCTTTTGTTCCTGCGCCTCGACCCGGTCCCGAAGCCGGCGGAGCCGCTCGTGCTCCGCCGCCACCTGATGGTGCTTGGCGTCGTGCTGCTTCAAGTACCGGAGCCGTTGCTCCTTGGCCGCCAACAGCTGCCGCTGCGACTCAATCTGGTGCTGCTGTCGGCACGCCATCTCCTCCAGCTCCCGAACCGTCAGTTCCGTGCCTGTTTCGCTCGTCGTTGGTAACTGAACAACAACAGAAAACAATCGAATTATGGAAAAACTGAATATACACGTCAGTTGCCTAACCAGAAGCATAACCGTTACGCGTAACACAAGTAATCACTGCATCGTTGTTGTTGCGCGTTGAAGACAGCGGACGAATGTGAAACGCGATACGTCTCGGACGAATACGCGTGATTAGCGGTTTCGAATTTTAGTAGGAACAATGCGACTTAATGTAAGGGGTGTTTTCGTAAACTTGTTGAGAAACCTCGTGCCATCCCCGCGAACCACTTACCCCCCCCCTCGATCGTCACGTCCATTTCGTCGCAATAATATTGGAACACACTGATAAAAAAAAAATTCAAAACTATTAAAGCTATAATACGATACAAGTTAATATAGATCATTTCAAAACGATTGTTATCTGTAATCTATAACAATGTATAAAATAATCAACGATTCGATATTCTTCGACTTCAATATACTAAGTATACGGAAATAGAAACGCTTTTATGACGTTCAATGTTCACATAATGCGCGTATACACATTATAAACATATTTGAATATAGCCAACCGTGGTAATTCATCAACGTGATAATTCTCGTTGCTAATGTATCATGCTAATAAGCAACAGTACATGTAGCCACTCAGTTCTCGATAGTCAATTGTAACGATAACAAATTGCCTTTATATCATAGATTAAGATACCTTAGTGTTCTAAATCAATCACCATTACGTCCATCAATGTGTCTAGTAACGATTATAATATAAACTAAAAGGAAAGAACCACGTATAGGTTATGTATACTTATTCATATATAAACAGGTACCCGTATAAATAAGAATAAAAGTCTACGAACCAGTAATACGCTCCACCGCGAATTACCTATATATTCTCGAAAAAATCGAGACCCTAAATAGGCTTTAGTTTATAGGATGTGTTTTGACGTTGAAACAAGCACTGACTATGACAGCTAAGTAAAACAACACCGCGATCAAAGACTTCGACTGTGAACTACATTTACCCCTTCGTTCTCACTCACGGACGTGACGATCATGGTCGCCCTTTGCAATATACAATAATTATGTACGGCCGCACGGTAATTACACGAGTGAGTCAAATATTATTGAAGGTAAACACGGAAAGCAAGTGTTCAAACCGATTAATTACGATTCGTTAAAAAAAAAAAGGCGTCACCGAGGAAAAATAAAAAACGCCACGTCACTCTTACAGACCAGAGTCGTTTTAGACGGTATACATACCGGACTATACTATGTACATATGTATTATTATTATTATTATTATTATTATTACACGCATGTCATCAATTATTATTATTATTTATTATTGACGATGATATATGTGCTAGACGTGTTTTTTTACACTTATAAATAGAGGCTGTCTATTTTGTACACACAACCATTACCATCGCTTTCTAACCTTTTTAAAACGTTTCACGCGGCTACATAATACGCCTAAGCACTACATGCATAATACCGTTACTTAATGCCGTGTCCATGATGAATCCATTAAACGTGGCGTATTATCAAAATGTAACTTTTGGTCGTCCTCTGGCCCTCTCCATTTCACGCTCGTTCAGCAATCTATCTCCGTGCAAAAATCAACGGTCTACATTTCAATATCCTATTTTCATGCGCATACTATGTAGATATGCCATATTATTATAGGTACGAGTGCCTGTGTGTTAATTTGTGTATGTGTATTTATATTATACATATATGTACGTACTGTTCTAAAATCCGACCTCATAAATACGAATGAAAATAAACAAGCCGAGCGGTCCACGTATAATTGCGATCGCTGAAATAATAACACTCTCAACAGTAATAATAATAATAATAATAGTAATAACGAATTCTCCGGTGTCTGAAATGCTTTTTAACGAGTTACCTTCGCTCAAAAATTATACCACAATCATCGTTTCGGCTTTAAGACGATTCTCGTACCATTTGCAGGTTTCCGACGGCAATAATTACGTACAATTATTGCATTTGTTTTCCGACGAAAGTTTACTGCAGCGACGTACTTATTATTTACGGCCAACATATACTATACTAGAGTTCCAACCGAAGAACAATAGATTTTTTAGAGCGAGTTGGAGAAAAAACACGGTCAACAATAATTGCAGTATACGTAAACCACTCATTCGTAATAAAAAAAAACAGCGTCGAGTAAAAAATAATCATACCTATATACACATATTTATATTTATTATTATTACCATTATTATTATTGTAGTTTTTATTATTAATAATAATAATGGTAAAAAAAGCATGCATAGAGAATATTTTTTTTCTTTTTTCGTTGTAATCAGAACACGTTTTGAAGAAGTAAAATTCCAAGTATGCTATAGGTATATATATGTGGTTGAAATATATTAATGTTTATTTATTTTCATGGAGATTCACATGTTAATTGAAATAGCAACGTTTACTACTGTAAAAAAAAAAAATGAAAAAGGTGTGATCAATAATAAAGCTACATCATTAATTATAAAGGTTTTTAACGCATACGTTTTCCGCAGAACTGAACTATACAACCTGAACCGCTACATAAATTTTTATCACAAACGGCTGTTGGTTTTGCTCACAAATTATATTTGTATTATTATTATTATTTCTATATAATGGGTTGTTTTATATATACATATAATTTTCCTACATTAAATTTAAGAAAATCTTAATTATTCGGGAAATAAAAAAAATATAGAGTAGCTAGAGTAAGAAGTGTTTATTTAATTAAAACATGCTAAACCTTTAAAAATAATTTTTTTTGATATTTTAAACATTTACGAAGACCAATGAAGAATTTCATTAGTGTAATGCACCACTATTTTTACATAATTCGATGAAAAATATGACAGATTCAAAATTGAATACGGGATTAAAAATAAAATAAACTAATATAGGTTAATTATGCTTATTATTTTAATACCGCGTTTCGTAGATATCATTTTTTTCGCATATGTCCTAAAAGTATGCCAACAACATGACATGCATTATAACGGATAAAACCACTAACCCAACATAAAGACTTAAATATGGATTCCGTAGGTACACGTCACTTACGTATATGCATGTATACATTTTATGTTTTGATTGATTACGCACGCGCACACCCACGCTTGACTCCAGTGAACTGCGTAAGTCTATTGGTCACAGACTCACAAGTTTCACCTAATAATACTTGCCAAGTTCCAGAGCAAATAAAAATAAAACAACGCCATTACAGTTAATAACATGGTTTGTGAACCCTGCAGTAGGTACGTATAATAATATATTATAATATAGGTACATAACCCATGTAGAACGCCCAAATCGTGCCTTATCAATAAAGAAACGAGCGCCGCGGCGGTCGTCAAACGTTTCAATATTTATATTCACTTAACATAAGAGGGGAAGAATAAAATACAAAACATTGAATTTAAAAACTATTGGTAACGTAAAAGTACTAATAAATATACATCTGTAATATATACTACCTATAAAGTGTCATTTTTCCAAGGAACAAGTTAGATTGACAGACGTAAAATGTGGATAATAATGATGGTAAATAATAATAATAATAACGCTGTTTAGTAAGGTAGTGTTCACATATTTTCATGCATAATATTTTTATGTGAACACATACAGCGAAAAGAAAATTAAAACTTGATTTAAATAATATGTCCATAGACAAATATACATTGGATATATCGTAAATAACCCACCACTGTAGTGTACGAAGTAATGTCAATTAATATATCGAACAACTCATAAGTCAATATTTAAAACATTGATTTCATAATACGGATAAATAGTTGTAAACGTACTAACAAGCTCAATATTCATCTATATAATTTACACATGCGAGTAATAAATTACTAAACACAACGATACTAAGCTGTTATTTGGTATTCATAACGTTATTCAAAATTCAGTTAATCATGTAATTTTAAGATTTTACAGAATACTAAAGTATTCAAAATACCGTCTCAACCAACACCAACCAATAAGCGTTTTTTGAAAGTTTTAACCACTCTAGAAAATAAATCTTTGAGCCATCGAAACGCGTTTACGTGAATAAATTAATATCATGCAAGAAAAATACCAGAGTCAAAAAGTGTAAGCTAGTTGTTCGAGTAGAACCTACGATAATCTCTCCAAAGAAGTGTTTTTAATAATACATATATATATTATGTAATTTAAGTGTGAATACGTGTTAAACGTTATCAATAATCAAAGAACATTTAGAATGAACAAACAACATATCAATTCGTCCGAAATAAAAAAAACCTTTTATACGCATATGAAGCGTTTTTTTAAAACATACATAATCTTCGTATTGTGTGCACACGTTTCGTGGTTCGTTTATACCATATAATTCTATATGATTTCCTTCAGTCTACGACAATTGAGTATATCCGATAGGTAACACTACTACCGCATAATAAATACGCATACGAACATATATCTTCCTTTCATCATCGTATTACTACACCCTCTTTTCTCTTATTGTCATCTTATTTAATTTGTTAAAATGTTTTCCGTTATTTATTCTAAAAACAAAAATCCTTGACTCGAGGTATAATTCATGTGTGCGTGGTGTATGTGTATAATCTACTTATATTGTCACCAGCGAACGTTTTTTCTTTTCAGTGTTTCTCTTCCGTGTATTTATTTCGGAGTGTAATAGTGTAGGTACAGATATTTTATTCATATACGCTCAAACGGCGGTCCAATGGAGGGAATTACAATACAAACATAAACCAAGCTTAGAAACTCAAACACGGGGTAGTGCATGTATATTTATGGAAAAGTAAGGGAAACAAATAGAAAAAAAAAGTAAGAGATAAAAAAGTTAGTGAGTATATGTTGATGTTTGTGCATGTGCAAATGCATGTAAACGTTTTCTAAAAACCCAAAGTATTTGCTTTTAATGTAAAACCATTTTCATATAATATTTTTCTCAAAAGCTCTCTTGCCGCAGTATTAATGGTGACTGGGCGGTTGCATTATTT